CAGCATGCATGCATGCTGGCTGGGGAATTCTGGGAGTTAAAGTCCACACATGCTGGCCAGGGAATTCTGGGAGTGGAAGTCCACACATCTTAAAGTTGCTGAGGTTGAGAAACCCTGTTCTAGAACAGGAATGTTCAATTTCTTTTCCAGGCTGAATGTTGCTCTCCAAAATGTAGAGGTGGGCCAAATCCTTATTTGATTTCAGATGACTTACATGTATCCTAATTAACCAATTGATAGCTCTCATGAATTGACTCATCTCCTTTAGTTGCATAAGAAAATACAATTTGGAAACAAACTTTTGGAGATTTTTGGGCACGGCACCCCAAACCTTCAAGGTTTTTCTTCAGCCTTGGATCTTCAGGTGGGCCTCCTTCACTCTGGAGGATGTATCTGTACTACAAATTATTCTGAGATCAGTCTGCATATGGTAATGGTTTTAGGAGGAAAAAGAGAAACACGAGGATGTGGTTTTGTTGTTGTTGTTTATTTTCCCCAGGCCAAATCCATTTTACAAGGCTTTTTGGATGATTCGGAGCAAGAGATAGCCAGTCTCAAAAGTTTTGATTTGGCAGGTCTAGATGCCAGTCTTTGCACTCTAAACTCAACAGAGATTGCATCTATCAATGCCACCGAATTCAGGTACCCCACCGTTCTCCTCTCATTCATGAAATGCTTCTGAAGAAGCACATGGCAGCACCAGAGGATGTTAGTTTTTCAAGATCATTGTCTGCTTTCCTAAGGATTGAATAAGACGTTTCTTACACACCATTTCTCGGGCTTGTAAAGCAACCGAAATATAATTGCAGCCAAGCTGCAGAATATGAAAAATAGCTGTGTTTACCAACCAGGGCATAAATGTTGGGTTTAACCATTAAAAAACCTACAACCCAGGTTAGTAAAAATTACTGACATGAACAAAATGTAAAATATCTTTAGCTGTCTGGTGTTCCATTCCCTGTCCAACTCTGCTACAGCATGATGTCCTTCAAGTCCAGTCTACTCATGAAGGTGGTGCCAGTGTAGAAATGTGTTGGACATTGTAGAATAGCGATACTCCTGAAATTCTACATGCTTTGATTATTTAGTTCTTTATTTTCTCTGACAGCTGGGGGGGGGGACCTCCTACCTGTGGGATCCTTAAGACTTTGTAACTTCTTTTTTTTCTTCTCGTTGGCAACCGGGTGAAAAATTGCTGGTCATGACACGGTCTCCTTTGCCTTCTCCATAGTATGGTTTTAGCCAGAATGGGTTCTTTGCCATGTAAGTCAAGCACTCTGCAAGGATTTAAAAAGAAAGTAGAATCTGTATTTGGAACTCCTACGAAGTGGAGCCATGCAGTCCTGCAAGAAATTGGGACTATCGCTGGTAAGAGAGTTAACCAATCCAAGCCATTATTTGCCCCCACAATCTTCTTCTTCTGGGCAGCAGAAGAAATAAGAGAAAATAGAAACGTGCCTCTTCGGAACCCTCTACCCATTAAAAATAAAACCAGCAAAAATGTGAATTGAACTAATTAAGCGCACATTTTTACAAAAGTTGCTTCCAATCCAACATTCATTGAATGTCGCTTCTTTTCAAGGCCTGATTTCCCAGAGGGGCCTGAAAATGTTTTAGAATCGAATATTGATCCGCTAAGGGCCAGTGCCCCTCAAATGCCCCAAATGCAGTTTAAGCAGAACAGCGTGAAATTGCGTTCTGATCGCTTCTCTTTCTCCCTCTCGCTAGCTGGCTTAAATGAGAAAGAATTAAGAGCCCTCGATGAAGAATTGATGGCTTATTTCCAGCCAACGGCAATAGCGTGCCTTCCTGATGAAATGTTTAAAGTAAGTTGGAAAGCTTTCAGATGGGTTCGCCGATTCTCCTGCTTTTTAAACTTTATTTGAAAAAAATTGGGGGTGGGATGAGGAATATATGGTTTTATTTGGAAAACATTACAAGGCACTTCCTTTCACTGTTAATGTTTAGGGATAATTTTGACTGGAGACACCTTCAATTTAGGTGATATCAAGGCGGGCATTCTAACCCTCCAGGTGGTTTTCCTGGAGGGGTTGCTATGAAGGCATTCAGTTCACCCCTTGAAAAACCCTTGAAGATATCCCCAAATTGGATCAAACTTCCCATGTTAGGGGAGGAGACTTTTCAAAGACCAAGCGGGCACTTCTAGCTATTGCCCTTCAAGATCCAAAAAATGTCGAGAAGGGTCAGAAATGTTGGTTCTACCCTCCTCCGTGATATCATTTTTATTAAGGATTTTGATTAGAGTAGTAAAAACAAATACAAACTAAACTTAAAGAAAGAGGAAAGAATAATAAGAAAGAATAAAAAGTGTAGGAAAAAAGAAAAAGAAAGAAAAAGGAGAAAAGAAAGAATATGATAAAGAAAAGAAATATATAAAGAAGTGACTTCCAGCCTTCATTACAACAAGAATAGACAAATTTAATAACTCTTCATCCCCTATAAGGTTACAAACAGATACCTCTTCATCCCATATCCCACCCCTTACCTATAACCAAATCCATAAACCATCACGACTGCAAGTTTCTAAAGATAATCGAAGATTAAAGAGTTCAGTCCTGACCCCATGCTAGCAAATTTCAAAATATATCTTAGTCTCCGCACACTCCATTTCCAGCCTAAAGTGGGATTTTGCACAAACATGAACCAAAAAGGGGAAAAGAGAGGGTTAATTTATATCCTATAATTGCTGGTTGCCTTGGGAGACCAAATGTCTTCTGAAAAAAAAAAAGGAAAGAAAAGGTAAATCCAACACAAAACCAAGGGAAACTCTTTGGCATTGTTGTAAATGTCAGTTGTTCACATTTGCTGTCGTTGCTCTACATGGGAAGATAATGACTCTGCAGGTTTAATCATAGGGTTTGGCTCCTAAAAGAGGCATAATCGTATGATTATGTTTGGTGGAATATTCTGCACCTGAAGTGGGGGGGAAAGCACCTCTCAGGTAGTTTTATTCTCTTTATTGGCTGGCTCGGGTCACCACTAACATCTCTACAGTCACCATTTGCCTGCAGGAATGAAAGCAGATGGATTTGGAAGTTGCTGCTTTGCAAGAAAAGGCAGAAACCACACAGCTCCCCTAAATGCACATGCCGAGTCTTAAAACGATTAAAAAAAAAAAAAGGAATGAAGTGTCATCAGACCATCAAACCCCACCAGGTTTCTGCCTTCCTGCCTGAAATCTCCTTTTTTTTTTTTTTTTTAACATGGGGATACCAAGATCTTGCAAGTTTTCAGCATTCTTGCAAGAGTTGTTGTGTTCTTGGGGGGAAAATTGGGGACTCCTCGTTGCGAAAATCTTGGCCTCTTCGCTGTGGTTATTTAATTGGAAGTAGAAGCAAGCGATTCTATGTTGCCGCACAAACTTGTCAGCTTTGTGCAAAGGACGCACCCTGATTCTGAAATTCACAATCAGTGGCAAATTCTGAATTACAGGGATCGTCTCGTGAGAGCTTTTACATGTATAGAAAAAAATTGTGATATGTCTGTGTTCATTAGTAAAATGGTGGCTTTTCCTTAGTATCGTCCCCAGTTAACAGAATTGTTATTGGCAATTTCTAACCCCCTTTGGTTAGAAATTGTTTCTTAGCAAGGGGTTGCTGCTTCAATTGTTAGGCACCTATATTTCGCTGATACGAGTTTTTAAAACAGAATTCCTCCGCGTCAGCTCTTTTTTTTGAAGTGTGAGTCTTACTGTTTGTATGTCACTTTCAGCAAAGTACTTTTGGGGGGGCAGATAATGGATAGGGGAACCCCAGTGTGAGTTGACTGCATTTGATGCTGAGAAATTCAACAGGACCGGAAGATTTTACATCTTGAACATTTGCTTATTAGGAAGGCTCAGCACGGCTGCAGCAATCCAGAGGTTAGATGCCAGAGAAACACCCTAAATAGCTAATTGCCACTTTTTAATATTTATTTATTTATGCAGGAGTTGTCTCCTGAGCAGATTGCAAACCTTGGGCCTGAAAACGCAGCCCGGGTGACCGATTCACAGCGCCAACATCTCAATGAACAGCAGCTTCAGAGTCTTCGACTGGCATTGGATGGTGGAAAGAGAAGAATCCAAGACGTGTCGTTGGATGAGAGCACAATCTATCCCACTTATACACCTGTTTTGACTGGTGAGTTTTCTTAAAAAAAAAAAAAGCACTCTTGGGTTTGGTCACCAGCATAATTGTGATCATCATTCAATGTTTTTTTTGCTGCCCAACAAAAAGAAACATTCCAGGAGGTGATGTTGTTCTTCTCAAATCCAGAGGTGAGAGCCTCCTCTTCTTTCTTTTATGGCACTCAACGGGCAAATTTCGTCTTCAAAACCAAAAATTGCAGTGGTTTCACGTGCAAAATACATAAAGCATCAATTATTACTATTATTATTTTATTATTATTTATTTAACTTGTCCCCGCCCATCTCCCCTCGTGGGTTAAGAACTGACATTTGTTCTGAGGGGGCAGAAAGCGTTGACCACTGAGAAGAACATTGTCTGAGCTAGGATTGTTCATTGCTAGCCAGGCAGGCCTTCAAAAGGGCCCAATTTGTGCATGATAGAGATGTGTTATTGCCACAATTCGCTAACAAGTTGGTCCAACTGGGAATCAATCAGTTTCCCTGAGCTCAGGGGCTGCTTCATTCTGAGAGATGTTGTCTTGGGACAAGGCAGGTGCTGTGTCTAAGTTCCCCCTCTGGGTTTTCACGGAGCAAAAACAGCTGTGAAGTGACACACAACTTCATTAATTCCTCTTCAGCAGAGCTTCTATTAGTCAAATAGCTGGCTGGGCTCCTGTTCTTTCTGTGGCAGATTCCCCAAGGGAAGGCCAGGCGTTTCCTACTGTTGCAAACAGCTGACCTTTTTCTCCTTCAAAGGCAACGTTTGCCCTGTTGTACAATGTTGTACAGCTTTAATTCATCCAGGGTAGCCTCCTCATCTGTTTGTGCTGCAGAAAACATTGCAGATGCATTTTCCAGATCAGGCTGGAAAGCCTGGACAGCTGTTGATAGTCATGCTGACAATTTGGAGGGACAACATAGAAGATGATTAGATGAAGAAACTGGACATTGCTACTGGCCACTGGCTGGTTGCTTCGAATTCTCACATGTACCACTCACTTCAGTGGCAGAAGCCCTGGTTTTGATCTGTCTCTCCACCCTAAAATCCTAATCTGTATTGGAGCATCTGGTAAGGAAGGGCAAATATCTTAGAGGCCAACTGTAACTGGTCTTTCATCCCTCTGCTGTTTTCCTGATTTCTCAAAAGGATGTTCTTCACCACGGTCTCATCCTGGAATGAGTAAGCAAATAAGAGGGAGGGAGGGAGGGAGGGAGGGAGGGAGGGATAGATAGATAGATAGATAGATAGATAGATAGATAGATAGAT